ATGGCTCTCAATCGTGCAGAAACGGCTTGTTGAGTTACTCCCAATGATTCTGCAAGCTCCTCTTGCGTTTGACTCTGATCTTCTTCGAGTAATGCCTCCAATTCTTTGTCTTCGAATTTTTTTGGCTGTCCAGAGCGAGGCTTGTCTTCAACGCTGAAATCTCCATCCTTGAAACGTCGAAACCATTCCCTACATGATTTATCAGTTGGAGCAGTGTCATCATAAACTTTGACAAGCATTCGATGATTTCAGTTGCACTTTTCTTCCAATTAAAGCAAAAAATTAGAACCTCCCGCAAACCTGCTGCTTGGTTAACACAAAATTCGACATTTCAAACACAGTAAAAATCAAGGTTTTTGTACGAAACTCAAAGCGATATAAACTGAATATTATTAGCAGATGTCTAACCTCTCTGAAAACGCCAAAATCAGCTGTCACTATGAACCATTCACAACAGCCGGAGCCATCTTTTGGAAAACGGACCGAACTAATTTGTACTCCCAATAAATATAAACTAAGATATCATTACACATTTTGGCTCTTGGATTGAGCTATCCTCAGACAATACAAAATTCACACCTTAAATTTGTTTCCATCATCAGAGAAAAATTGTGATGAAAAGTGTTCCAATTTATATAGCATCCTGGTGAACGTTTCACAGAGAACATGAATTATTCGCAAGCGATTTAATGACCAATTGTTCGGAATTTCATGATGTTCTAATTAAAGCAACAAATTCGTTAACAAATAAATAAATAAATATCTAAATAAAATAAAAATCTGCCAAAAAATTATCTACTTTTAAATTCTGTAAAAAGCAAGCAACAACATCATCTCAATAAAACACTCACCAACGTGGTCGCAGTTATCATTTCGCAGTAAGAAGAAATACTTTCAAATTCATTATAAAATCATGTAAAGTATAAGAGGTAGTACACCAGTCAGATAGTGATTATAAAATGTAATTCACAGTCACTATACTAAAACTTGATTATGTGTGCAGAATCTTTCAGAAAGAATTTTTTGAAAGTTGTGTTAACGGTAAGGCTGACCATCTGACGATTAATAGATTGATAAAATGACTAGATAAGAACAATATCAAATTTTGTTTATAATCAATGTTATACGCTTTGTGAAGACCCCCCGTGTCTGAAGATTAAGACTGTTTTTCTGCTTGTTAGTTTTAACATCTCGGAAATTAAGCGTTTATTGTAACACAGCTCTTCTTCTAGTATTTGGATGTTATTCTAGTTAAAATCATATTTCGGCTACTCTATGTTCGGTGATTACAGAACGGGTAGATGTTTTCCAACGATTATGGTATTCTGTAATTCTGATTTTAAATTGTCTACCGATTTGTCCGACATTATGATGCATCATAATCATTGCACATGATCTTGTATACTATATTGTTCTTTGAAAGATTTGAATGAGAATCCTTTTGTACCTTAATAAACTTATTCAATTTATTAGAGTTATAATAGGAAACTTTAATATCCTTTCTATTAATTTTTTTTAATTTTTCGGTTATCAATGGAACAGTGAACATCAAAGGGTACAGTGAACCATGATATAATACCCTTTATTTTATCATTTTTGTTCAATCATGTACTATTGTTCCTCTACTCTGAATGTTTTTAATTCTATCACTGATTGTGTCAAAAGTTTGAAGGGATAATTGTTCTCTATTAGTATATTAATAATTAATGTAAGATTTTTTTTGATAGAATTCAGAGTCAGACAGTAATAAAGCTCTGTCAAGCAAATTAAAAATTACCCCTCTTTTGGGAGACAGGATGATTTAAAAAATAATTTAAAAAATCTCCCCGAAAAAGTCGGTTTCTAATCAAAGATTAAATGTTTTCCTTTGACCATGATCATGAAAATTCAGTGAGTCAGAGCCTACTTCTAATATAAATGGAAGATGTGAGTAAAAAGAATTAAAATATTCAAAAAATGATTTCAGAAGAAAGAACAGCAGCAAATAAATCGTCAACATAATAATCCGGTCTGGTAATAGAAAAGAAACTGATTGTACAACAATGACATTTTCTCCAATTTGTGCATTACTATAATAAGTCTGCAATGATGGCTGACAATGGAGAACTCATGGGCGTGCCGAAATTCTGTTTATAAATGGTATTATTAAATGATATTAGGTGTTGGAATTAATTCGTAGCGTTTTTTAATGAAAGAATGTTATTTATTTCACATGAGCATTAAAAAATACATTAATGAAAGTACTTCCCATCACTTAAAAAACGCTACGAATTAATTCCAACACCTAATATTATGGTATTATTAAATATAAAATAAATGTTGAATCTAGAATAAACCGAACTGCCGTCAGGAATTCTGGGTAAGTCACATTTTTTGGAGATGAAATTCCAATCACACAATCAATAGCTAATGAAATGTTAATAAAAGAGAAACAATATCCCGTGAAATTAATTTGAAATTATTGTCAATTGTCATCCTTTTTAAGCTTTAACAGACTAAAAATTATTTTTTATATAACTTTCAGCTTTGGGAAGGAATAGGTTCAAATATAATGTGTAAAAATGAGGCTAAGGATATAACGAACTATCTAACTGTTGCAGCTGCGGTTTCGGGATCGTAAGGTTTCTCAAATATTAGACACTTCTTCGTATTTTACACGAACACGCTACTTTATGGCAAAACTTTGAGAGCATACGGCTCGGATTATTCGTAGTAACAATGGCAGTAAAAAGGCAAAAGTTATATTGACGGGAACGGACAGCACTCCCTCAACTCGCGATCCGATCTCGTCTTCTTCCGTTCATACGCGGCCCTTCCGGCACCTTCTTCTAACTCGCTCCTCGGCCGGTAACACGCGTCTCGCCCTCTATCATCTATATCAACTATATTGAGGTATTGAGAGCGCGTTTCCAACATCTCTCCCACCTTGAATTGTGACTTTTTGGTAGGAGCAACTCAACCTATCTAAAAAAAATGAAAACAAAAATAAAATGACAAACATTTCTAGTATCTGAACCGGTCCGGTTTCTTGATGATACGGCCCCTTCGGGTCTTCAAGTTCGTTTCTTCCACGATTTCGATTCCTCTTTAGAGATAGTTACGGACTCCTCGAGGATATTAGCTGCATTTCCCTTAGTAGTCTCTGACGTCGTAGTGGTAGACTCGATAAAGTTATCAGCTGAAGTGTTCAACTTCCAAGAGAATTAATCTTTGAATGGGGGCGAACCAGTTCACCTTTGCTCGTTTTCAGTTTTATACCATCCACACGTAACCATCTTTTCCAGGGTAGACTTCTCTAATGATGGCGAGTGGCCAGTATAATCACTTTTGTAAATTATTTTCAATAAGCACTGTCTTCGACAGCCACGGACGCGGAACAATTGCTGAGTTTAATTCGTCTAGATAACTGACCCTGGTACTGTATACGGAAACGTTTTCTGAACTCCTCTTTCAATCTTTGACGATAACGTATCCTCTTTGCAAAGTGGGACTTGTAAACTTGATCTAAGTCTGGAATGCCATTTTCTCGAATGTCACTAATGAACATCGCTGGAGTCAGCGCTGTGATTTCAGTATTTTCCTCTGTCAAGTAGGTAAATGGTCTTGAATTCATAGTAGCTTTGCAATCGCATAGAATAGCGTTCATTTCTTCATAGCTCAACGAAGTTTTCTTTAATGTCCTCTTCAGTAGATCTTTAAGGAGGCGGATAAGTCGCTCCCACCATCCTCCCCACCAGGCAGCTGAAAGTGGATTAAAATGCCGTTATCTCATTGAGTACACAATATTGGGAAATTTTTCGCCAATTAATCTTCTGTAGTAGATTCCTGGCCCCTACAAAATTTTTCCCATTGTTGCTATATACTACAGTAGGTCTTCCTCAACGTGCAATGAATCTTCTGAAAGCCTCCAGAAATTCCTCTGATGATAGAGATGTAACCAACTCCAAGATTGTACGGTAGACTGCATAAGTAAACAAACAGATGTAAGTCTTTAGTTCACCACTCAAAAAAAGTAGTCCAGCGTAATCGATACCTATCACTTCAAACGCTGCGGCATCTCTCACTCTGTCTTCAGGCAACAATCCAGGTAGTGCTTTCATTGTTTTCGATGCATACCGACGACAAACGACGCATTTTCTTATGACTGAGCGTACCGTACGACGGCATTGCACCCAAAACTTTTCGCGTAAACCATTCATCACAATGTCAATACCAACATGATTAAATTTCAAATGAATATGAAAGATAATTTTCAACGTCAATAAATGAGTTGAGTCCAACACCACGGGACATCTGAAAGAAAAAATGTCTTGACGATTGAAGATTATGGTCTTTGTGCGTATTAGTCTATTCTCCTCGAAAACGTTTAAGCTTCGTAATCGTGAATCGTTGCTTCCCAGGAATGATTTTTTTCTGTGCCACAGAAGCAATTCTGCCTTAATAATTTCTTTGGCAGTTAACTCTTGAGTTTTGTTTACTTGGATTCTTCGACAATTATTCACAAATCTTAATATCCACGCGATGGTACACAGAATTTTGGAATACATCGAAAGTCTCTGCAAATACCAGGAGACTGTCTCTTCGCCCGCTTGTTCTACGGAGGTTAGCATAGCGGTTTCTTCAACAGTAGTCTCAGGGAATATTTTCTCTTTGCATCGTCCGGAAGTCTTGCGTAACTCTAAGTTAACTATGTTCTCGTCAATTTTTCTTTCCTCTTTGGGCCATTCTTTGGGAGATAGTTTCAACCACTCCGGTCCCTCCCACCATTTCAGTTCAAGGAATTTCTTAGCATCACAATCTCGTGAGGGTAAATCCGCTGGGTTCATCATTCCAGGAACATATCTCCAAGATTCAATATCCGTAAGGCTCCTTATTTCCAGAACACGATTCCATACAAAGACTGTCCATTGTCTTGTTTGTCGAATCCATGTTAAAATGGTCATCGAGTCGGTTTAAAAATAGGTCTTGATATCTTGATAATCCATAGCCTTTACGAAGGATCACATCATCCTAGCTCCAATGGAGGCTGCTAGTAATTCAAGACGAGGTATGGTCTTCTTCTCTTTGGATGCTACTCTAGATTTAGCCTCTACGAGATGCACCTCGACTGCTATGCTTGATTCAACTCGTACGAAGATCGCCGTCGCGTATGCGTCTTTACTGACGTCGACAAAAACATGAAAGGACAGTGAGTCGTGACTTCTCTCCTCTCCAAAAATCCATCGTGGAAACTTTAACATACGTAGGAGGCCTAGTTGCTGAACCCATTTAAGAAATTCGTGCTTAATGTCGTCGTCTATTTCTGTATCCCAATCCACGTTTTTATTCCACAGATCTTGCAATAGTAATTTTAGTTTTAACAGTACGGGACAGACGAATCCGAAAGGGTCGTAAACTTTCTGTACTTGTGATAAGATGATTCTCTTCGTTATTTTCTCCGTAATCGTCGGTGCAGGAAATTCCGGTAACATTAAAATATCCCTTTTGGTGTCCCAAGCACCTTTGACTGACTCTCAGGATCCTTGCCAGTGTATTTCCAATCTCTTAAGTCAAATTTGGCTTGAGTCAAAAGGGAAACAGGCTTCTTTTCTGAAAACTTCAAAATCAGAATAAGAATCGACACTAGTAACACAATCATCGACATAAAAGGATTTTGCCAGTTTCTCGTAAACTGCTTTCTTATATGACAAAATGGTAGAATTTAAGGCTCTGTTAATATGCAATTCAATCGTCGTCCCTAAAAGGAATGGGCTGCTTGTTAATTCGAAAACAAACAACTCGACGATGTCGATAAATCTCTATTTCTCCGTCAACGTTCCACCACAGGAATCTCAAAACATCCCTATCCGACGGAGACGCTGATTTGTAAGAAGCTTGCTTTTGCAATATCAGTTGTTATTCCTATCTTCCTCTCTCGAAATCGATGTAGCAATGCTGGAATAAGCTCTATAAGATTGGGTCCAGTCTCCAAGCATTGGTTAAGCGAAGGCGATTCCTTAACTTTTGCTGACGTATTGAAAACAGGGCGTATCTTCGTAGTTCCTTTTTTCTTGACTACAGGTCTGTGTGGAAGATAGTAGCTCTCTTGGTCGACTTCAAGTACAGGTATCCTTTCAATAATTGCTTCTTCGAGCCAATTATTAAAGACAGCCTGGTATACACCGTGTCCTGGTGGACAGCCGTTAAATAAATCTTCTTGTCGCAATCTCTTTGTAACGCCTTTTAGTCTTTTCTCGGCTATGTCTCGATTATCTCGTAAAGATGGATGATTCTCTTTCCACGGCAGTAGAATTTCGTATCGATCTTCGTTGAAGATTTTCGTTGTCTCTTGAAATGAGGTCTTTATTTCAGCTTGATGTGCCTCCTTAGTAACACTCTCAATAGGATCCGTGATACCCAAGACGTCGAGTCTCCATAAGTCTGATATGTTGGCTTCTTGAGTGAACATTGACATAATCGTCAGCGCAGTATCGGCGCCGCTGTCATCGTCATCTATATTCCTACCTAAGATTGTCCATCCAAGCTTAATTTCTAGAGCTGTTATTCCTTAATTTATCTGTAGGATCTTTCCTGTGAATATCTTGCCAGCAACATCAGTTCCAATCAATAGTGAAATAGATTCTTGACGTTCACCGGTGTCGCTCAAACGTATGTCCTTTTTCTCAAGTATATCCATCCATGTATCATCGATCTTACAAGAGGCGTCCTGGCAGATAATGTTTTGTTGCAAAGCTACTGCTTGCCGTTCACCGGTGTCGCTCAAACGTATGTCCTTTTTCTCAAGTATATCCATCCATGTATCATCGATCTTACAAGAGGCGTCCTGGCAGATAATGTTTTGTTGCAAAGCTACGAAGTCGCTCCATCTAAGTTGCCGATGTAAATCCAACAAGTTTTGTGTCTCTAAGGTTTGGTTTTAGTTCCTTCAAACAACAAGTGT